GTGCGTGGTGGTCAAGCCAGTGCTTGATGAAGGCCTGGTAGAGCGGGCACAGAGGTGGTGGGTCGTCTCAGCGCATGGGTGGCCCAGAAGTGGTCCAGGGCCCTAGAACTGAGGGCACTGTGGGAACTCTGTTTAACCCCAGACTGCCCCATAACAAAGTGGGGAGCGAAGAGTGGCTCTGGCCACCCCAGTGCAGCGCAGTGTTGTTGCATTCAAAATGGGCTTCAGATTGGCCAAACCCAGACAGCCCATCGTTTGCTGGGGAGTGGCTGCCTCAGGTGGCATGGGGGCTGCTGGCAGGCCGGCATGGGGTCTTGTTGTACTGCAGTCCACTGGGTCGCACGCATGGCTCCTCCTCTTGAAACAAAAGAGCAGACTTTTGTCTTCCAAAGTGTTCATCGTAGAAACTGCTGTGCAAACAGTGACGTCTTGGGTGAATGTGGAAGTCTAGACAATCGAAGGGGGCACGGAGTTCCCTCGGATTGTTCCTATACATGAGGGGAGATAAGAGAAGGTAGATGGGAAAAAAAATCCCTGCATCACCCACACTACATTTCTCTCTTTGGGACTGAATTAAAATTTGCTTTTTTGCATGTGTGTGCAGTTTTTAATAGCCCAGGTAGCAATTTATGCTACATTCCCAGAATACATACCACGGGGAATCAGACGAAGGTGGGCCCGATACCCAGTGCATTTAAAAAAATTCTTGGAGGCTGTTACCTGGTATAACCAAGCAGTGTGCTGGGGCCTCACAGTCCCTTGTTTCATTCGCTCCTCCAGCAAGCCTAGGTGTTGGTACTAATGCCATGCCTGTTTCCCAGGAGAGGATATAGCAGCTCAGAAAGACTTGGGGACAGTCCCAGGTCGCCACACCAGCAAGATCAAAGCCTGAGCTGTGGCCTCCACAGGCTCTAACTTGACTGGGTCCTCACCTGAGGATGATTTGGCCCAGGGGATGTTTTCCTAGGGGTAGGGGGTGGGTGCTGCTAGAATCTAGTGGCTGGAGGCCAGAGATGCAGTTCTAAATGTCCTGTAATGCATGAGATGGCCCCGCCACATAGAACCATCCCCGCCCAAGATGTCAGTCATGCCGAGGCTAAGAAACTCTGCTTTTCACCCCTTGAGTTCCCCTCTTGGAGCTGGAGGTGAGGAGGGGTGGGTCCTGTTCCCAGCTTGCTTTTGGCTTGAAGGGTGGAATCATTCTTACTTAGGCTCTGAATTTACTTCTTCCAACCCTGGAAAAAGTAAAATGTGTCAGAGAAACACCTTGAGAACTGATCTTTAAAGAAAGGAAAAGAAACCGATTATAATTGAGGGCATGTATGTCGGCACTGGACTAGCAACTGGTAAATCCCTGATTTATTCATCCTTCCAAACAGCCCTTCAGCTTGGAGGACATCCACGTTCCTCGGACTCCCCCCTTGAAAGTAGCGAAGACTCAGGTTAACATACTCAAGGTCACATGGCTCGAAGATGGGGAGCCTGGATTCTAACCCAGGCCTCAAAGATTCCAAAGGCTCGACCTCTCACATCTTGATCCTTTTTTTTTTTTTTAAGGCAACAATAAAAGCTGTGCTGAAGGTAAAGTAGGGAGCTTAAAGAGGAGCATTAAATAATGCCCCTACTTTTTAATTGAAAGGATTGCTTTTTATACCCCATGAAGTGGTTGCCATGTACATTAGAAAGTCTAGATCAGTCTATGGGAGTGTGGGTGAGTTGGTTATAATAATGCATTTTTTTTTTTGCAATTCTCCAGGCACATTTATTATTCATGATCTCATTTGATCTCCTCAACAGTCTCATGAGGCTGCTGGGGGCAAATGTCCTCATTTTACCACTGAAGAGTTGGGCCTCCGAGGTGGGTAGCACTTGGGGAGAGGCTTTCCGCTCTGCTAGCCCCGGGCCTCCTGTGCCCACCCCAGGCCACCGTCCCTGCAGCGCCACGCTGGGTTAAAGATACAGACCTTCTTTCCTCACCAGCCTGGGTGAGCTCGAGTGAACTCTGACTCACTGAGGAATAAGCCACATAAACTCTTTTATTGGGTGGTAACCATTTACTGGGCCCTGTAAAAAGGGCCCCTCGCTGCTTTCCCTCGGAAAAGGGGTGCGGGCAGGGAGTGTGCCCAGCCTCCTGGGGGGCCTGGTGGCAATGGAGAAGTTGTGACCTCATTGTCCTCAGGGCTTCTCTGTGGGTTGAGAGTGGTCCTGGATGCCTTGTGCTGAGAAATGTCTGCCTGGAGGAAAGGGGCTGGTGGGCATTTGGTATAAAGAGGAAAACGGGCTCCCGTGGTCCTACGACATTTATTAAATTCTTTTTTAGTAGCCACTAAGCTCTCTGCATGCACAGCTTTATTTGATTCCCACAGCCCTGTGGGTTTGGGTTGGTCCCATTTTCCAGGTAGGGAAAGTGAGGATCAGAAAGATTTTGGCTAGACAGACTTGGAACTTGCTTGAGGTCACGAGCAGAGGGTACTGAACTGAGCCCACCCATCCCCGACTCCAAAGCGGGGGTGCTCAGCCCTCACGCCGCTCTGCCATCTATTCTTTTGGGAAGTGGCAAGGCAAAGCCCTGAGCTCACTGAGGAGGTGGATCAGAGCTGGCCCCGGCAGGTCTGGCTTCCACTGAAATGGCCACTTTGAAATAGCCCTGCAGGCAAACCCTTGTGAGAGAATTTCAGGGAAGCCTCTCCTGCCCAACCCCGCCCCCCAGCCCCTTACCCCGAGCCCAGAGGGCAGATCTTTCTGTGCAGATGGGCTGGGCTCTGAGCTTCAGCCCTTTCAGGGTTAAACAGTAACCTTTCTACTGCTTGTGGTTGAGCAAATGCTGGCAAGGAACAAGCCCGGCCTTGAGCAAACAGGAGCTGGAGCCAGGCCCCTTCCCTCTCCCAGCCACCCCTCTGGGGACATGGAGGTTTTCTTTTGCCTTGAAGCCCCCCCATCTTATTTCTTAGCTTAGGGCAATTGCTCTAGAAAGCTTGAGATGAACGGGCTCAGTTCTTGTGAAAGAGAAGAAGGTTGCTTTTCCTTCTCTGAGAATGAGAATCAAGTTATTCTCCTAAAATGAACTCAAGAAGCAAACTATTTACCTTCTTTAAGTGTTTACATAGGGAAACTGAGGCCCAAGCTTGCTTCTGGTTCGAGATATCCAGGGAGGTAGTGGCTCTCCCCCCATAACACCTGCCATGCAGTCACGCCCCACTTGGTGTCAAGTGCTCCAAGTGTAGAAACTCATTTCATCTCCAACCAATACCCAAGGTAGGTATGAGGAGCTGTATTTTGCAGATGAGGAAACCAAGGTTCAGAGAGGCTAATGACTTATTTGACTTACTACTAACCTTAGCTGGTAAGTAAGTGGTAGACCTTGGAACTGACCCCAGCTCTTTCTGTTCTCGAAACTATATGGCCCCACCACATAGAACGCCACCCTGCCCTCTCCCCACCCTGTGCTCTGTTACCAAGTTCATCATTCTCACCGCATTTGTCCTCCGTCTCCTTTCTACTTAGGCTGGATTCAGGCCTCATTATTTGCCAAGCGACCATCATGATGATGTTAAAAATCATCATAAATGTTTCTGCGTAGCCTAGTTCAACTCTTCATCACTGCTTTATTCCCAGTCCCTAGAACTGTACCCAGCCCATTGAAGGGCTGATAAATATATGTTGGGTAAATGACTACATGAATGAATTTTTATGCCCTTCCTAGACCCCTCTTCTCCCCTCCCCCCAAGCCCTACATAGAACCAGAAGAGCAGTAGCTAAATTAGAGGGAAGGGTTCTGAGGGATGGAGCTACTTTGGTTGGGCAGTTTCCATCCTGGGGACATTGGTGACACCTGAGGATGCAAGGTTTCCCTAAAACAGGCAGAAACATTTCCATGATCTGCCACTATAAAGCCAGTCTCTTCTCCCCTCCCAAACATTCAGAAAGAGCAGGTTACCTTTAGAGGCCCTGGGGGTAATGCTCAGTTGCCTTCTGAAAACAGGCTGCTCATCCCTTGAATGACTGAACACACTTCTTGGGCTTTGAGTCTGAAAGGTGGAAGTGCAATTCCACTTCAAACAAAATTTCTTTGGCATTTTCACTTTCGTTAAAAAAAAAAGCAGCTCGAGGGTAGGAACATTGGAGATACTGGAGGACTGAGGTGACTATTTCTGACATGTAAAATTTTCACATTGCTTAAAAAAATCCAGACAGGCCCAGGGAAGAAAGGCTCTTCTCCTGGGTCCTTTATTGAGACACTGAGCCCTCAGACTGAGGAAGTCACCTGCAAGTCAGCTTTGAAGCCCTGTGGTATTCTTCAGGTCTGTAAAAGGAGAGGAAACACTAGTCTGAATTCTTACCAGGAGGGAAGGGAAGAGGCAGTGTGTCTTAGCTGAGAAATCAGTTGATTCCTGATATTATCACGGAGCCAAATACTTGAGGAGCTCTGGGTCAGGTATGACTGAGGTCCTCCGAGCCCAGCCCAGCCCAGCCCAGCCCGGGACAGATGCCTGTGCTGAGGAAATTTACTGGGTGCCCAGGTGCGGAGCTGGCCAGGTGTGTTAGGACTTGTAACTGTCCGATTTCAGGTCAGAGTTCCTGCTAAGGTGCCAGCTCTGTTCTGCTACTGGTTTGGGTTTTCATCAATTGCAGTTCCACTTGAAACAAAAATCTCTTTGGTATTTCCACTTTTGTTTAAAAAAAAGTTAAAAAAACTGGCTACTGGCCAAACTCACCCAGTGAGCAGGAATTACATTTTCATTTTCATGCCTGATCAGAGATTATTCATTTATGAATGGGTGGCTATAAAAACTTGCCTCATGCATATGAAAATTGAACCTGGAAATTTTTAATTTCCAGTGAGTTTCGCTTTTACTGATAGGGCTTGGCAACATGCTTGGCAAGCAATGGATAAATAGACAAATTCCTTCTTCTGTCCTAAATTCAAGCTATGATCTGTACTCTCAAATGACATTTGTCCAAGAGGCACTGACTGGACGGGCTCTTTGATCCCCTTACAGATCATGATTCTGGAAGGAAGTGGTGTAATGAATCTCAACCCCAGCAACAACCTCCTCCACCAGCAGCCGGCCTGGACAGACAGCTACACCACGTGCAATGGTAAGGGGGCCGCGCAGGGTCGGTGTCCCTGCCCACGCGGACGCTTCCTTTGCTTTAATTAGGCTTCATTCCCCAACTTAATGAACAAGATAGATTTTAGTCAGCAGGGGTGTGGGGACCAGGGGAACTGGAGAAAACCTCACGCTGGAGGTTCCCACAGGGCCCTGGGGCTCCAGACAGAAGCCCATTTGAGACTCTGTTGTTTCCGCTCAATGTTCAAAGTTCTGGGTTGGCAGCCTGGCAGAGAGGGTGGTAGAAGATACTCGAAAGGGAAGCCGTCTTTAATGGCGTTGGCTGGGATATCAGGATAGGAGAGAGAGCTGTGAGCGTGGGTGTGGGCGCATGCACGTGTATTTTGTGCAGAATCATGGAAGTCAAGGAGGAGAGAGTTACAGCAGCTTAATCTTCCTATTTCACCTTCTGGTGACCTCCCTTTGTAAAGGGAGGGGAGATTTGTGAGGAGACCATGTGCCTGCCTTGGGCGCTTTAATCAAGAACCGATTAGAAGAGGGAGCGCCCGGTGGTGGGGCTTGTAGGTGGCTTAGTCATCAGGCCCGTGGCTCACTGTAGAAGCTGAACGGAATAACGTTGTTGCTGAATCAGGGTCCCCACACCCCACTGTGGAGGCATTCGGTTTAGGCGGATGGCAGTGCTCTGCATCGCAGGGAGCTCGGGCCTTCCCCCACCCACGTCCACTGCTGATCTCCTAAGAGACCCTCGTCTTCCCTTGAAAGATGGAGATGGGCAGTGGGTGAGCACGGGCCGAGAAGCAGGAGCTGGGGGCAGAGTGGAAGGGTTGTGTTTGCCAACAAGCAGCTGATCCACGTGCAGCTCCGCCTTTCGGTTTGGAGCCCCAGCCAAACATGGTGGAAAGCGTGAATAGGTGACTTCTCTTCCTAGATCATCTGTCCCACCAAACTGCTGCCTTTTCTGGGCAGTGGCCTTCCCCATGGGAGGCCTCAGATCCCCTGTGGGGACCTCAGAGAATGATTCCAAACAGGGCAGGCAAGTTCTCCAGACTGGGAAGTCTTTTGCATTCCCAGGCTCCCAGGCCCCCTTGATTAACGCAGCATTCCTCCTGTTTGCTCTGGAGCATGTGTGCTCAGCAGGGAATAGAATTAAAATATTACTTTTACGGGGAGGGTGTAGCTCAGTGGTAGAGTGTGTGCTTAGCATGCACGAGGTCCTGGGTTCAGTCCCCAGTACCTCTATTAAACAAACAAACAAACAAACCTAATTGCCAACCACCCCCCTCAAATAATTAGAAAAAATACTACTTTTCCTCTCTAACTTCCAGAGCCCCAAAGAAGTTCCAGCTCCTGGTCATGACTGATGGGGTAGGGGAGGCACTGAACTCAGGATTTTCGGTGCTTCTCCTGAACTTCAGGAATCTGATGAGTCACCTGGTTTATGGGGAGTTTCCCCTGGTCAACTTCAGACAAAATTCTCTGGTTTTCCCGAGTCCTGGCAGGATGCACTCTCGGGAACTAGCCTCTAATCTGGATCATGTGACGCTGAGAGAAGAAATTACTCCAGGCTTGGTGTTGGGTTATTGAGAGTTGTTGCCTCTTGTTTGCTAACCCAGAGCTACAGTCATAACAACATAGTTATTTTAGAAATGAAAGAACAAAGATTTGGTGAGCTGTGAAAGCTACATCCCATCCTTAAACAGCTGCATAGATGAGAGATCAGAAAAATCGGGAAGAAATAGAGACATCTGGTCTATACTCTCTGTGTTGGTATATTTGGGAATATTTCTATGTAATTAAATTTTGGGACTAGATTCTTCCAGTCCTTGCCCTTTTCCCCTCCACTTTTGGCTTCCCCTTCAGGGCAGGAGCTGAGCATTTAGGGCTGCTTTTGTGTGGCCATGAGGTAGGAGGAGTAAGGCACATGATGTAAGTGGCAGGTACCACCTGGGGTAGTCACCTTCGTGTCCACATGACCTTGACCTCCTGCTCTTAGAGCTGCTGAGGTCTGGAAGCAGTGGATGGATTCAAAGGGGGTGAGCAAGATAGGACCGGATTGGAAACAGCCCCCCTTCAGCCTCTCCTCTAGGGGGTGTTGTGGGCGGGGCCATGGGCATTATGAGAATCAAAACTCTTGCCGCTCTGTTGCTCCTTGTCACTCAGACTGTATCCAGCAGCCAGCATCATCACTATCCCGTGGAAGCTTGTTAGGAATGCAGAAACTCAGGCCTCACCCCAGATCTATGGAATCAGAATCCGCATTTGAACAACATTCCCTGGTGATTCATAATCACGTTAGAGTTTGAGAAGTACTGATCAAGCATGACCTTGAAGAAAACTTTAGGGGCAGTTTCTTACATTATCCTCTATTGATCTGTCCTGGAGATTTGTGGGAATATCTCTGTGTCATGTTCAGTAGACTTTCCCCTACTTCAGCTTGGTGGGCTGGAAGAGGGTCCTCCCTTTTTCCCTGCCTCTCACCTTTCTCGCAAGAGAGCTCCTCCCCTCGGCTGGCCCGCCTTGAGGGGACTGTAAGATCTCTCAGCCTAGTTACACGTGCCCAGGGGCTGGCCTCTCTTCCCCATCGCCCCAGGACTTTGGGCTGACTGAGTGATGTTCTCTTAAGTGAGCAAGAGGCTCGCATACGTAGGCGGTCAGGCCCTGGTAAGCTCAGCAGTATTTATGGGCTTGAATGACCTCCACTTCTTCCCCGGTACTTGAATTAACCTTCTTGTGAACATACCTCACAGCTCTTCCAGGTTCCTACATTATTTCTTCTTCAGCAACAAATTCCACTAAATAGAGAGCGCCTCCAATGACAAAGTATCTGAGGTGGTTTTTATGGGAGATACGAGGATGGGTAAGACAGAGTCCATGACCTTGAACATACAATTTACAAAGGAGAATAGGACTGTACTTAGAGACCTGTCAAGAAAGGCAGAACATGGCAAAAGTCGTTGGGAGAAACACAAAGCGTGTCTCACGGAGATTCAGGGGACAGCAGCCCTCGCAGTAAGTCGGGGGTCCGCGACGGCTTTGTGGGGTGGTCATAATCTGCAAAGCTGGGTAGGAACTCAACAGGGAGTGAGAGGTGGAATACAAACTGGGCTGAAAGAACAGCATAGGAAAAAGGCAAAAGGGCACTTGAATTATAGTTAGTGAAGAGCCTCAATCCCTGACTTGGCAGTTTTGTACCCAATTTCAGGGGATAATGGGAAACTGCTGAAGGTAACTGAATAGGGACGTGACATCACAGTGGCTGTAATAACCAGCATGAGGTGGGGGGACATCCACACAGTGAGCAGATGAATAATCTGGACCACTTTGGGGAGAAGCAAAGGCATCATAGAGAAAAGGCTTCATTTTTGGTAGAATATGGTCTGAATTTTGGGTACGTATGTGTATATATGCGTGTGTAAGAGAGACAAGGAAACAGGAGAGAGAGAGGGAGTAGAAAGAACTGTGTGGGTGTGGACGTAAGCTAATAAGTTGCCGAAACTGGCAGTGCTCTAGCGTTCATGGTACTTTGTGGGAGGTAGGGAATGAGCGTGTGACCTCAGAGCATTTCAGGTCTTGTGTCCTCATGCAGGGCCCAGGGGTAAGTACACAAGGAAGGACGTGAAGATGTATGGAGGCTGAATTTTTGACTCCCACCACAAATGGGAAAAGAACTGTTTCTAAGAGCCTCCTCTCTGGAGCCCATCTCGTGTTCCTATCCCCGCTGATGGAAGCAGATCGTGGCTGTGATCCCCATGATATCCAGCTGTCAGCAGGGCATCCCTAGGTCTGGGACCATGCCCAGGAGCAAACACGGGTCACTCACAGGGCTGCCTTCTGTTTTTGCAGTTTCCAGTGGGTTTTTTGGAGGCCAGTGGCATGAAATCCATCCTCAGTACTGGACCAAGTACCAGGTGTGGGAGTGGCTCCAGCACCTCCTGGACACCAACCAGCTGGACGCCAGTTGCATCCCTTTCCAGGAGTTTGACATCAACGGCGAGCACCTCTGCAGCATGAGTCTGCAGGAGTTCACCCGGGCGGCAGGGACGGCGGGGCAGCTCCTCTACAGCAACTTGCAGCATCTCAAGTGGAACGGTGACTCCCTCTCTCTCTCCATCCTGCTAGGAGCCACCTGGGAAGGGCAGAGACTCCACAGCCGGCAGGGCCCCTGTTTAGGGACATCCAAGGATGGTTTCACTTCCAAATTACTGTTTCCCAAGACGAGGAGGGAGGAGGGAGGTGAGAAGACAGACCTGAAGCCTAGGGTGCAAGGTGTGTCTAATCCCATACAAAGCCAGCATAATTTAATTCTCTCTTTATGGTTAATTTTCAAGGAGACAAGGGCTGGGTATTCACAGAATACTTGCTGCTCTCTTCTTTCTCTTGGAAACACAGGGTTCAATTGTTTAATTCCCAGTCACTTGCTTGTTAGATCATCATGGCTTTGTTTTTTTTTTTAACTTCTATACCTAAGTTCTTAAGATGGGACCTAAGCATGGTAAGAAAATAGGCAAAATTAGATCTAGTTTGTTTTTTGGGAGGGGAGAAAGCTTATGGTATTTCAGCAGATTCTTAAAAGGTCCTAAATAGAAAACAAAGGGTTAAAACTAACAGTCTGGACATGTTTGGGATGTTTCTGCAGTGATTTCTGGAATTGGTGCTGCCTCGAGCCCCAGATGTCTCTCCTGAGGCCTCACGTAGCACACAGACAGGTACCCTTCAAAGGCTGTCCCTCAGCGATAGTTTATTCACACACGCACTCGTTCTAAACTGGCTTGCAAGACCTGGTAGGGGAGACAACTCATCTTGCAGGATGTCTTTGACCCTGGCCCGAGTTTCTTCCGATAATGGCTATAAAAAAACCCAGCTCCTCTGAGAACTGTTTTGGAAAGCAGTGATACGTGGGAAAAGAGAGCTGGCCCGTCTACATCAGAATGGGCATGTCTGTTGAAGAGAACCTGTGTTTGGGCATGTGGCTGGCGCTTTGGGAAGCATGAGCTCCAGGGCCATGAACCAGATTCAGATCCTGACAGCTGCTGTCAACACTGAGGCGGACCCAATGTCTGGCCACGGAGCTGGCAGCTCAGTGGCCTTTTGGGATGACCTCATTCAGCTCCTGGGCACTCCCTACTTCCCACCCACCTCACAGAGGTGGTTGCTCTTTTTTTTTTTTTTTAACTAGAACCAAACCAAACATAGCTCTATAAATAACCCCCAGGAATCTTCAGAAAGAGACACTTAACCTTGAAGAATTAAAAAGATTTCCCTCCCTACCGCCAATTAAATCTTCTCCTTTAAAGCTTTGCCCTGATTGAAGCTTAAGGCAGGGAGGCCTGGGAGGTGATGTGGCCATCTGTGACCATCCATCATCTCTGACCGTCCATGGCTCATTTGGCCCTGCTGCATGCTACTGGTGCCTCTGAATGCCTGATGACCCGATTTTTCACTTTTGTTGCATTGTTTGCCTTTTTGTAGACATTCTGTTAACTTATATTTACTGAGTCTTTACCTATACAAGGACTCTAAGTGAGTCAATTCATTTGGTGGCCTTATGAGAAAATAAATATCGCCTCTATTTGGCAGGTGCAGTTTTCATTTGGGAAAACTGAAGGTCAGAGAGCTTAAAGCATGACTTCTGCACCTGAGATATTTACAATCTGGCTGGGGAGGGAAAAGTCACATGTGTATATGTGCTTTTGTACAGGATACATCTAGAGAGAAGTTGCAATGCATAAATAAGGGAAGAATCACTGCATTGATCCAAATGTTATCTCTTAGATTGGATCTAATCAAAAAGGGGTTTGTTTCAATTTAAGCTCAAAGACGAATCAAGAAGGTTTTCCTTGTATTTTTGTTTTCATTTTGTAGCAGATCTTAGTATGGGAAAGCACCTCAGAGGCCATCTAATGACTTTATCCAGTTTAATCCCCTAAATTTACAGATGGGGAAACCAAGACCGAGATAGCTCAAGTGCCTTGCAGCTGTTAGTGGAAAAACTGGTCTTCTGACTTCTGAACTTTTATTTCCACCATACTGGGTGTCTTCTCTATAGAAGGCCAAATATTTCCATCTGATATGGGTATCCTAGCTACTGATTTTCTGGACCCGGGACTCCAGGCTTGAGTTTGTAGATGCAGAGAGGGAAGCCCTCTCCCAGAAGCAAAGAGAAGTGATTAGGCAGTGGGATTGACAGAAGCTTTTCCAAGAAGCCAGCTTCGCCCTTGGTTAAGCATCACATTTGGGCTCCGCATGGGCCCACTTTGACCTTCCCAATCTGTCCTTCACAGGCCAGTGCAGCAGTGATCTGTTCCAGTCCACGCACAATGTCATTGTCAAGACAGAACAAACTGGTGAGTAGTGGCAGATGGAGGGAGCCACCTTAGTAGGCGAAGACCTGGGGAGGAGGAGTGGGAGGGAGTGTGAGGGGCAGCATGGGAGCAGGGCGGACTCAGGGTTTTGGCAGTAAACCCAGGGATGCTGCTTCCCCTCTGTCTCTGATGGGTCACCCCGCCATGAGCCCAATCCCTTGTCCTTGGGACCGGTGACTGCCAACTAATTCTGATTTCTAGCCTGCTGATGGTGAGCCAAATTCTGCCCACACTCCTCTGCTCCCTATGGGTGATCAGGGTAGCATCCAGGCTCTGATTCAGGAGCCAGAAAAAAACCCAGAGAGTCTAAGTGGGCTTCCTTCTCATTACCAGGAGAGTCAGGGGACCGGACTTGGCCAGGTTAGAAGCAAGGGAAGCGAAGAGGAAGGGGTCAGAGTCTACTCTCCCTCTCCTCCCTTGGCTGGGGTGTGTTTCACAAGGAGGAGAAAGATTCAGACTTGGTGTTATTGTTACCATAGTTTTGAGGGAACTTGGAGTTTCTGTAGGGATGTCCAAAGGCAGCTGTGGAATCAACTCCTGCACTTTTAGACAGAAGCCACGATTCTGAGCTCCGAGGAGGGTCTGCAGTCCCAGGATAGCTACATTCATTTTTGTTCTCCTTCGTCTGCCTAATCATCCCCCCTTCCTCTGTCCCAGTCTCTCTGCTGGGGTTTTCTGTGTCCCCTGGGGACTTGCAGGGCACGGTAACTGCCTGGAGAGTGTGTGCACAGAGCCTTGTACCAGTCAGAGCTCCTTGTGTATTGACCTACGGCCTATGAGCTCTCAGTCTAGGGAGAGCTCTGCCAAGTCCCCCCCAAGTCCACTGGCCACGATAAAACTGTGTATCTGCCACTGCTCCAGGGTCGCTCCCCATGTCCACATCGGTGAGAATGCGGGCCACACGGGCCAACCACCGAGCTGGCCACAGGCCTCCCTGAGGGTTGCGTGCCAGTCACCAAGGACAGAATTTGACCTGGGGTGATTGGTGAGTCACTGAGGGCAGAAATGGGCCCCACGGAGTTATGTGCTCTTTTATAAGGGGGCTGGTCTCCCATTATTAAAGAAAAACAATAGCTGCTAAGCATGTTAATTAGGTTTGTCTAGTCCTGCCCTTCCCCCCAGAGACCAGGGGCTGAGCTACCCAGGTAGTCTGTGCTTCAAGGGCCTGACTGCCCTAGAGGTGGTCACAGGACTTGGCTGAGAGGATGGTGCCCCCACCCCTACCGCCCCCAACCCCCACCACCGACCAGACAGATAGCCCCACTGGAGGAGCCAGGGTGGTACTGGAGAGATCCCAAATACTTGACAGTTCCTCCTGGACCATCTAGACATTCTCGTGTTGCCAGTTCCGAACAGGTGAGCTGAAGGGTGGGGAAGACGGTCCACCCAGGGAGGAGGGGAGAGGAGGCTCGCACAGGGACCAACACCCCCAAACCTCTTTGGTTCAGTTTGTTTTCAGAGACAACAACAGGTGTACGAGATGACCCAACAAGGAGAGAGGGTGTAACCCCAAGAGATTGGGCTTGGGATGCCCAAACACGTAGCTATTAGTTAAAACACCAGTTAAATCCCTCTGTCGTAAACAGGACGACTTAGCCAGTGAGTCAGGTTTTATACCGTTTATGCTGTAAAAACAAAATGAAACTTGGCCGGTGGCTTACCACCCCAGCCCTGAAATTCAGATGCCGAGCAGGAGAGGGCTGAGAGTAGCCTCTAGGTGTGAAGAGGGGAACACAGGAAATTCTTGGTGGGGATGAGGTGACAGCCCTGGCCAGGTCTTACAGCTCTTGGCCAGCCAGGAAAGAAGATGCTTCTGCTGGAGACCAGCCCAGAGGAGGGGGAATATGTAGGAGTCAGGGGCTTCATTTGGGGTAGGTGGAGGGAGGTCTCCTTGGAATCAGAAATTTGAAGAGTTGATTGGACTGAGACATGCTTACCCAGCACACTGGAGAGAGACAGAGAGAGAGAGAGAGAGAGAGAGAGAGAGAGAGAGAGAGAGAGAGAGAGAGAGAGGGAGAGAGAGGATTTGATTCGGAAACACTCTCCTCCACGTCTTCTTAATTTTGTTTTGAAAATTCTATGTCATCCCTTAAGCATACTGGAGAAATCTCAGAGGGAGGGGACTGTCACCCAACTTGAGATTCTCTCTGGATTTCAGCAACGAAGACACTGTGATATAAGACTGAGCAGACTTTTTCTGAAAGAAGCATTCTTAATTCTCCCAGGAAGATATCACTAGGAAAAGATACTCATTAAGCATGACTTTATCTGTCCCTCCCCATTTTTTTCAACTAGTATAAAAATCTTCTGGTGATAATACAGTAAAATGCAAGACAAGACGAAGCTCCTGAACCCTCCCCCCCCCCCGCTAAGTGTAGACTGGGAAAATCCCCAGGAAAGCATCCTAGGTCTAGGACAGGATCCCACTGCTGTACCTTCTTTGACTTCCCTAAAAATGCAACGGGTGTAGAACTCTTAGAAAGTCCATCTCCCCAGGACACAGGAAAAAAAATGGGGTAACGTGATTATAAAGTGACATGTGGCTGCAGCAGAATCTTCTCTCTCTGAGAACCACTCCCTTTCCCCACACCTCTTGCTGAACAGTGAGTTAGAAAAGGCAAACGCCCTACCTGGGGAAGATGGTTGCTGACATTCCCGTTTTCTGTCCTTTGTAGACCCTTCCCTCATGAACACCTGGAAAGAAGAAAACTATTTATATGACACCAACTATGGTAGCACAGTAGGTAACTAACTCCCCAACACTTAAGACCCTTTTACATTTTTATTCTGTTTTTCTAACTGCCAAAAAGGTATATGGTAAGGAGGGGGCTCTTAATGTCCTTTATCTTTTCATTGCCACAGATCTGTTGGACAGCAAAACTTTTTGCCGGGCCCAGATCTCCATGACAACCACGGGTCACCTTCCTGTTGGTAAGTTGCCCTGACACCCGAGGCTGAGTGTGCCTCATGCAATTGCTCACTGAGAATCACCAATGACCTACGTTTCCACTTTTCTGGAGTCTTTCTCATTGAAAGGCTAGGAAAGGAACAGAATTACTATTTATAAAAAGTCTGCTTTTGAGCCCATATTTGTACATTGAAAATGACCAGCAAGGATGCCTCTAGGAAAAGTGTTTGTCTCCTCTGAAACCAAGTCACTCTCTTGTGACAACAAAAATACTCTTTTCAATTAAAAAAAAACCTTGGTTTGGGGAAACTATCTGGTGAAGTTATTCATACTTATGGGGAGAAGGCTATATTTACTTTTTAATAAGCTGTCTTTGGCTTTAGAGGAAGAATGGCTAACAGTGGGATTCAGAGGTCAGTGACTCGGTGATGATGATCTCTGGGTGGAGAGGTAGCAACTGAAAATTTCTAGAACCCCGGGAATCGTAGGTCAGCTTTTAAGTCTGACTCTGATGGCTCAGCAGGACTCTCTCATTGGTCAGACCACCTGCACTTTATGAATTATGATCACAGTGGTTGTATTTGGTTAAGATTGGATGCATCTGGGGGCTGTGCCTGACTCAAGGTTCCCCTGGGCGAGACGGTTGGTCTGTTGGGAATCTGAGAGAGGGGCTTTCAGGTTGTATTTAGATCACATTTCCCCTCGTCCGCTCACAAATAGGTACGTTGGTAGGAATGAGCGTGCTGGGGAGGTGAACAGAGGGTTGCGTGTTGTCCCTTGATCTGGATGCGAATTTGTGGATCATTTTGGGTCTGTGAAATGGAGCTTGGACTTGTCACAAGTGAATCTGTCTTTTCCTGGAACTGAATTTAGGGCAACTTCAGAACTGGGATTTAAAAGAGTGTCTGTGAATGAAAGCATGGAATCAAACAACAACCCTTCCTCCCTCTTTTTTTTTTTAAATTAATTTTATTAGATAGCATTCAGACTTTTCACTTTTTTTAAAACATTTTTTTATGTTCGTTTTGCTTTTTTTGAGGGTGTTTTTGAGAAGTGAAATAATGAAAGCTCTTGGTTTGAGGTTTTGTTCTGGTCAAGCCGCTTGAATGAGGCAGGGCTGGGAGCCAGTATAAATGCATCTGGAACTGAGGTTAAGAACAGAGGCCAATTCATTTCTCTACTCCCCCCACCACTCCCCCTCAAGAGGCCCGTAGCATTTTGTGTCACTCTAAATATTCGCTGAAATTAGGAAATGGATCAAACACTGGAAAGGTTCTGCGGTTGATTTGCCATGCTGGGGGAGCTGAGCCAATCGGGGTAAAAATTCCATGGCAGTTGTTGCCACCCAGTCAAGACGGAGGTTTTCAGAGCTGAGGAAACCACTCTAGTCACCCTCTAACTTCCTCTCACACTTCTTAGGGTGTCACCTCTCATGTCCCTGGGTCTTTGGCTTAGGGCAAAGGAGTCCAACTAAGAATAAAGTTGAACCAACCATTTCCTGAGCCTCAGGGGTTGTTAGGTCTTGAGGCACCGGGGAAACGAAAAATCATAGTCACAGCTCTGCCGCCCTCATAGCCAGGCCACCCTTCTCTCTTCTGTGTCCTGAACTCACCTTCTAGAGTCTCAGAATCCTTAGGCGCCAATGTCTGCTTTCATATTTGCAGTAACAGGGAACTCACTGCCTCCTGAATCCATCTCGTCTACTTTGAATAGTCCTTCTTAAAATGGGCTTTACGAGGGAGGGTGTAGCTCGGTGGTAGAGTGCCTACTTAGCATGCATGAGGTCCTGGGTTCAATTCCCAGTACCTCCATTAAATAAATAAATAAATAAATAAACCCAAATCCCTCCCCCTCCCCAAATACAAAACAAAACAAAAAATGGGCTTTACAAATCTGCTCTTCCTCACTTGCCTTGATTCTTGAAGTCCCAGATTCCTATCCTGTGGTTGTAACATAGGCTGGAACATGAGACAAGCCATCCAGGACCCCTATCAGAATCAATTCAGTGTCTGGGTTGGTAAATTCTTTGGAGGAACGGCCCTCCAAGTCGGACAGTTAATTACATCCTTGTAAAGATGAATTCCTTTCACAACAGTTCAGTCTCTACTGGATGGGAGCGGAACACCCCCCACCCCCCAAAAAGACCTTGGTCATTTGCCTGCATCTTTGGATTCCCAGCTCCCATGAAACTGAGTGCAGTGAAGTATCTTTGTATGTTTTAACGCAAGTTACAAGCCGTGCCGAGGCGAGGCCACACATAAACTGATGCCCTGGCTGATAAACATAGGCGGGGAAGTGGGCTGTGTTTTGATTGCTTTGTCATCAGCCCGGTTCAGAAAATGGCCGCCAGTGTTCCTGATGTGCCCGATAGTCCCCCGCCAGTCACGCCAGCTCGGGCTTGATGTGTTTATCCACTGACTTGCCAAGCCTAGAGCAAGGGTGGCATGCTCTATTATAACACTGAAATTTGTATATCCCGTAAAGAAATGGCTCACAGCTGAATCATATGCAAATGCTTCTAATCTTTGCTTCTTGAGAAGCAGCTTAGCTGAAGTCATGCTCTGGAACTCATCATAAACTCATGCCTTGGTGCTGCCCCTGCCCGGACTGGACCTTGGCCTGAGGTGCCTGGGGGCGGAGCGAGAGAAAGCCAAGCTGGACAACTGCCCCAGAGCAAGCCATTATTTTATAGGAATGAATCACTTAACCACAAGGGTGGACTTCAAAGGTTTTGACTTTTATTCTGAGGCAAAAGGAAGACATACGGAGAGAGGCCATCATATTAAGGTGAGGTTTCAGATCAAAAGACTTTAGAGCTGTGGCAGATTGGGGATTCCACAGCTTCGCTCCCCATGCACTGGGGATGGCAAGAAGAAGCTGGAAGAAATCTGAGTTTTCTTTTGCCTTTGGCTGCACATTCTTACATACAATTGATGATGGAAATATTTTTATTTAGGGAATTTTGGTGGGGGGTGGTGCTCATTCCTAAGCTGGATGGAAGTCTAGTTTGGATAAATGGCTGAGATCTCAAAGAGGAAATTTCTTCGTGGTCTAGCCAGTGTGGAGGTTCTTAATCTGGAGCCCATGGGCTCCTAAGTGACCCACGAACTCTTGAATTTGTTTACAGAATTGCACGAGTGTATACATATCTGCCTTGTTCTGGGGAGAGGGTCCAAAGTTTCCATTTTACTCATAAAGTTACCTTAATACCCAAAGGAATTGATTCTACCTGAGCTTGGAAGCCCTAAACAATAATTGAGGCCAGTGAGCTGAGAGACACTTGGGTTTTTCTGAATTCAACCCTGGCTCTGAGATAATGGCCCTGCACCCCTTCTGGATGCCATTTGAAAACGAGCTTTGCTTGTGGCCTGCTGGGTAAATGCCACTCTTTGTCTGCAGAACAACGTGGCCCTGTCAGAGTGATGTATCACTTGGAAACTGGGGTAGGTGCCAACCTGTCGCAATATTGTCACATCCTGATGGGATGTCGCAACCTCACTCTGAAACCTACAGGGAGCAAGAGCGGAGTCTCCTTGTATTTCCTGTGAATGTCTTCTCCCAAGTTTCAGAGAAATCCAAGTCAGGTGCAGGCCCTCCTGCTGGCGATGTGGAGTGTGGGCGGGCAGGCGCGGGAAATCTTAGCTAGAAGAAGAGGTTTCTCTTCTAACCAGATCTTACTAAGTTTCTCTCCTCCATCCCACCATGGCTTTCAGACTGCTGGGAGCTCTGAGTTGTGACTGTCTGGGCGATCAAATAGGTGACTGCGTCCATGCGTGCTGGGAAATACAGAATTATCAAACTGGAGTACTGGAGTTACTTTCCCACTAACGGGAGTGTTGCAGAACTGAACCTGATTCTTGGCAGGGAAGACATGTATGAAAGCTATTATGTGGCACCATCTTTGGAAATGGCATAGAAACTTTATGAGTTATGAGTAAAACCTCTGGGTTCAAATTGTTGTTGTTTGTATCCTGTTTCAGGCCGTGTGGCTTTAGACAAGGCATTTGACCTCTCTGTGTCTCAGATCCTCCCCAGCTGTAAACTTTGGATCTTACGAGTACCTACCTCATAGGGTTATTGTGTGAAGCAAATAAGGTGACTTGTGCGAAGTGCTGACCACAGGGCCTGGCACATAGTAAGTGTTCAAGAAACAGGAACTGGTCTTCTCGACCATTTTCATCAAGAGTCATTGGTGTTCAAAGTTTATTGAATAATGGACCACACGTGACAGTCTTGAAAGCTATAGGCCTCTTCCTTTGCCTGTAGTTTCAGTCAGTCTGAAATGCCCTTGAAGGCCACCCACGGGTCAGCAAACCCTAGGTTAGAAAGCCCTGATGTCACACACACAGAAAACAGTCTCTTACCAGGACTGGCTTGTATTTAGGGACTGTTCTGTATTAAAGTCAGCAGGTTGTCTATTATGGTATTTTTTGGTAAGATCTGCTTTAGCCCTCCTGACACTGGAAGTGCCCACTCACTCACTCACACACACACACACACACCACACACTGCTATATCATTCAGTTTTCTTTTTAACAAGTTTTATTTCACAGATTTGCCTCTGTCATCTCCTCTGGTGACAGTCACAAGAGTTACCGTAATGAGTCATTTGTTAAACTAATCTGTGTTTCCATAGTCCACCTCCGTCAGCCCTGTACTGAGCTCAAGACAGTCAATGGCCCCTTTGTCAGGCTGATTAAAATGTAACTTTGCATACCAAAAAAGGCACTCCTCTGGCTTAAAAGTCATCCTTTCTTTGTTATAAATGTTTACATTTTTGTCTTATGTAAAAAACAAACAAACAAAAACCTGCAAAACATTTCAATGACCTAAATCTCTCAGTGTCTTCCCATCTGTCTCAGAATAAAAGCTAAAATCCTCAAAAAGTCCTACAAGGCCTTAGTGATTGGAATCTCAGCTGCTACCCTCTGCCCCCTGCTCACAGCCACATTGGTTTCCTTCTATTCTGTGCACACCAACCCCAGGGCCTTTGTACTTACTATTCTCAGTCTTGGAAGGCTCTTCCACAAGCTCTCTGTACAACTGTCTCCCTCACATCCTTCTGGTCCCCTTATGAGAGAGATCTTCTGTGACCATCTTATATTCAATTGCAAATTATTCCCATCTCCACACTTCTACCCCTGTTTCTTATCCTGCAGTTTCTTCCCCAGAGCAGTTACCATCTCTGTTTGGCTTTGGTCATGACCACATACTTGAACAGTGCCAGACATGTAGTAAGTGCTCAATAAATGCTGATTACCTGAGTGGATGAATGAATGAAGATGATAACTGGAGGAAATATATAAATTAAGCAGTTCTCATTTTTTCTCTTTGGCAGAGTCACCTGATGTGAAAAAGGAACAAGACCACCCCACAAAGTCCCACACCAAAAAGCACAGTAAGTTGGCCGTCTTTCAGACGGCTCCTAGCCCTTCCCTTCAAGTGGAGAGTGACTAGAGGCCACCCGTTTTTAGGCAGAGATCGCCACTGCCTGCTGCCTGCATTTCTTCACCTCAGACTGGGTAGAGGGGGAAAGAGGCCCCACTTGTTGGCAAAGCAACTCCTTCTACTGTTGTTTCTCAAAGTGGAGCCCCAATGGCTATTTCCTCCTCATTCTGTTACATTTGTTCCAAAAGTGAGACATCCAAGGAATAAGAACTTCTGGTAGGCATGGGGTTAATGATTTCCTTTCCTCCAGGAAGAAAGGTGGGCAGAGGAGAAAGACGGGAAAAATAGTTGAGGTGGATTATTTTTCTCTTTGACTGAATGTTGGCTTCTTACTTCTGTGGTGTTCTTGTTCCAAGAAGTGATTGTTTATTCTTAAGATTCAACAGTGTTCTTTGAGAGCTGTACTCCTCCCGCACCCAGATAATAAAACCTTATGAAATGTGTGAGATGTCAGCGACCTGGAGTTGGAGGGGGGCAGAGAATGGAAAGAAATCAAGATGGTATAATCTGGAAACTGAAGGGAGTTGGACATTTTTACTCTCTGCTACTCCAGGTCACCCCACAGAAGTGAATTAACACAGCCCCTCAAAGTGGGGTGTGGGGAGGCAGTTGTACAAGTCCAGTGGGGGTAGAACTGAATTTGGTTGCTAATCTTATTAAAGCCACTGTTTCATTTTCAAATTGGCCCCCTCAACCCCTGCAAGACCCCACCCCAATATACCCTAGGAGTTAAAATCCTAGAACCCTATCCATGTGCATTTGGCTGAAGCACAGTTGCTGGTGGCAGCCATTTACTTGGTTGAGGTTCTAAATAAAAGTGGTTGAAAGTTGCTCACCTGGGAAGTAACAAGCTGAAATGAATCCCCAGCAATGTGTCAACCATTTTTAGAAGCTACTCCGCCCTCGCGTAGGAGATCCGAGACCTTAGTCTCTTGTCTTGGCTCTGCCACTAGTGAGCTGTATGACCTGGGTCAAGTCAGTTAAATTCTCCATGCTTCAGCTTTCTGATCTGTACAATAAAAAATGATGCTAGTTCATTCTTAACTACCCAATACTTGAGGATTCTGTGATTTGGCATCACAGGTGGGTAGGGAAGAACTGACTGTCTCCTCCTTGATGGAAGATGCTTCAGCTGTCCACGTTTCCGGCCCTTCTTTGCTGTGCCTTGTACCCTCACTCCACTCCTTTGCCTCCTTTGCCTCAGATCCCCGCGGGACCCACTTATGGGAGTTCATCCGCGACATCCTGCTGAACCCAGACAAGAATCCGGGGTTAATCAAGTGGGAAGACCGGTCTGAGGGCGTCTTCAGGTTCTTGAAATCGGAGGCTGTGGCTCAGCTGTGGGGGAAAAAGAAAAACAACAGCAGCATGACCTACGAAAAACTCAGCCGAGCGATGAGGTGAGGCGTTTCAAGTCCCCAAACATGATAAAGCCGCGCAGCCAGTTAGTCCCCCGCCAGCCTCCGTCTCCAGCCATCTTACGCAATGTCCTCTGTTACAGATATTACTACAAAAGAGAAATTCTGGAACGCGTGGACGGGCGAAGACTGGTATATAAATTTGGCAAGAATGCACGTGGATGGAGGGAAAACGAAAACTGAAGCCACTGACGCCTTGAACACAAACCTGAACACGCCATGTGATAACCGCTCGAGAGCTCCCCGGACGTAAATATTTCCAAGACTGCTTTTCTCTGATATTTATGTACCATGAGGGGACAAAAAAATACATCGACTTCTAACAGGAAGAAGGAACATTACAGTTGATAAAATTATTTTGTTACTTTGAAGTATGTCCTATATGGGGAACAAATGTACACAGTTTTCTGTGAAATATGACGCTGTAAGTAGTTGTGATTTGTTTTTGCCTCTATTGTGAAGTTCTTTTCGGCGGCAAGAAGAACAGAGTTTGTAGTCTTGTGCTTCTTGCTAAAAGAAAGGAAAAAAAAATCAGAGGGCATTAAATGTTTTTATATGCAGAGTGATTTAGGAAAAGATGATGTGTCCTCCGCTGGATCGTAAGCATCCACGTGGTCTCGTCAGGAGAAGTGGGCGTGGTCGCTGGGAAGAACTCCAGGGTCCCAGATTGATGGGATGAGCCTGAAGGATGCTGGCAAGTTTAACCTGACCTTCAAGAGCCAGTGAGTGGAGAATGAGGACTTCCAGAATCCACGGTGGACTGTAATCACTGCATAACCACAGGACTTTCATGTTTAAATCAGCAAGAAGAATAATGGTGGAGGGGACTTTCTACACTCATTCAGGAAAGATTTACTTGGTGCCAAGGCTGTCTTCCCTTCTCCCCCTTGGATGATTGGTGAAAAACTTCAGTTACCACCTCTGCTCTCTTTTAATTATTTAAGAGAAGGTCCAGCCTCGGTTATTTTCATCCCAATTGCTTACAATAAGTGGGAGAAAGGGGGTAGTTTGTTCTTGTACTCCCATAGTCCATGGTTTCTCAATGGGCACAACTGACGTTTTGCGCTGCATGGTTCTTTGTTGTGTATTATTTGGCTGTCCTGTGTGTTGTGGGATGTTCAGTGGTGTCTATGACCTCTGCCCACAAGATGCCAATAGCACTCCGGTCCCAGTAGTTGTGACAACCAAAAGTGTCTCCAGACATTGCCAGATGTTCCCCGAGGAGCAAAATTGCCCTTAATTGAGAACCACTGATTTAGCCAGTCAAGATGAAGATGGTGATTTATTCTCAAAACAATAAGAAATGAAGATATTTTAGTCCCTAGAGTGGGGACAAAAAGCAAGACTTTAAAGTCAACCTGTTTCTAATTTTTAAAATGTTGGACAATGGATTGAAAAATCTAGAGAGTCTTCTTTTCAGAACCCCAGATGAGAGCCAGAGTTGGGTACATTAAACAGGAGCTCACGCTAGAACACATTTCACTGGGATTACAAAACAGTGTAAATGATACTGCAGGAGGAAACACTGAGAGGGGAGAGAGAGAGAGGGGAAGAGAGAGAGAGAGAGAGAGAGACTGTGTGTGTGTGTGTGTGTGTGTGTGTGAGAGAGAGAGAGAGAGAAAGTGAAAGTTCCAGGGAAAGTCTTTGCAGATGTTAATTCTTACAATCTTTCCTCTTTTGGATAATCTCTTTCTTGTCTCATCTTAACTCATTCCAGAGTGAATCATTTCTTGCCTAGCTTTGCATCCAGAGGAAATGTTTAAAAAAAAAAAAGGAAGATAGGAAACAGAAAACTCAGTTCAGGGGCTACAGTCAGTGAGGAGGTGGGGGCGTCTTCAAGGATGGCATTATTCTGGGTACCTGGAGACTCAGCAGTGGGCCAGGAAATCGGGGAGGAACACGAGCCTGTAGATGCTTTGAAAATGAATTTGAACATCCAGATCCCTTTTGCAACTTGTCTTTTTGGCTCCCCACGTCCTTGGCTTTCTCCTTCCTCCTGCACTGTCTTAATATGGAGATGAAGGCATATGTCAACGGGAGGGAGTGCTCTTGTCACCGGCTAATGGAGTGCCAGCCACCGTGTCTTACTCAGTTGAGGCGAGCCATTCTTAGTCAAAGTGTTTGTGATGGATTCAGAAAGTTGGAAGGACGAAGAATTAAGAATTTTTAAAATTCTAATTATAACGAGAGCCATTTTGGCTGGTGGTCTTGGTGCACAGCTTAGTGAGATGAATGACCTTCTGAAGGTACAACCAAGTTGTTTTCTTTCTGCCTGGCTTGGTCACCTCTGCAAAGGTGTTACTCAGTGTTGTCAAGTAACAGTCACTGAGGGAATTGACAGCAGTGACGCCAGACAGCACAGATCTGAGACATTCCTGCATGAAAGACACACCTTGCTCCCCAAGCAAGGCTAAAGGACGATGAGGTTCTACCCGGCATTTGACTATAACACACACAACGAATTAAAACTCTGGAGATTTGAATTAGTGTAAGCATGTGAATGTGTGTGTGTCTGAATGTGTGAAGTTATTAGGGACATCTGCTAATTCACTCCCTGGCTTTGCCTGTTCATCATCTAAGCTGCCTGGATCCTTCTCTGAGCTCGCCCTTCCTCAGACCTCTAGGTTTCTCACGTTCCTCCACATTGGCCTTGGCTCCTTCTGCACCTTTCCATTGAAGAGCAATCCCTGCTAGGTAGTGAGTCTGGGGCGTACCGACTGGAACACTCTGCAGATAATTAGCAGATCGTGTTATTTGTTGGATGTGATGGTTTCTTGGCACCCGGTTCCTGCTTAAATAGGTTGGTGTATTAAGTTCTCAGCATATCTCTCTATTGCCTTGGCTTGAGTTTGATGCATTTTCTATGTGCTGTTCGTGACTTGGAGAACTCATGGGAATCGAGTCATGCCAACTTGGGGAGTGAGCAGAATCCTTCCCACGCAGTGCTGCGAGGGAGAGCAAAATCCCAAGGATAAGGCAGCACCAGGTGAAGCCCCCTGCTTTGGGAGACTCACAGCTTCTCATTTGAGAAGCTCATCTGAGATGGATGCTCCTATGGTCACTACACATGGTCTTCTGAAACCCTCCTAAAGTGTGGGCTCTTATCTGTTTTTTGTTTTTTTTTTTTTCTCATGGGAATCCGAGTCAGGAAATGTACTGCTAAGACTTTACCAGACTCAGAGCATCCCAAGCTTCTAGATATTTGACTTGATGAAACTTGCACTAAGCTCTGACTCCCAGGGACATACCTACAGCTTCTGGAACTTGCTTTCCGAGCAGGGCAGACCTAGGCAATGAGTTTGCCTTTGAACATGCTTGTCCTTCTTCAAATTCTTACCCTGCTAGACTGTAAACTCTGAGGCAAGGGACTATATCTTATCAATATTGTTTTCCCAGTACCCAGCATGAGACAGGCTCTCAGTAAATACACGCTGAGTTAGTGAATTAATGTCTTCTGGAAGACTCCTCGGGTTGGGAGGCCATGTCCATAATTGGGGCGTGAATTGTTTCTTCCCTGGACTCACAGCACAATGGCCAGAACTTCAAGGACAAATTATCTATTAGATGAATATTGTACTGAGAGACTCTCTGCTTTACCTTCCTACCTGTGCCGAAATGAAACCAAAATAGGTTGCTTGGGTCTGCAAGTCCGCGTATGCTGTGTGAGAATTCTGTCACCTTAGGAACTGTGAGACTGACCTGGTGTAAGGAGCCAGTAATGAACCTTTAACCTGGTTTAACCAATGAAGATTATGAATGTGTTGATATGATGTAAATTGCTATTTAAGTGTAAAGCAGTTCTAAGTTTTAGTATTTGGGGGTTGGTTTGTGGTTTTTTTTTTCTTTTTGAAAAACATTGAGGGATCTTTTGATAAGGTTAGTCATGCATGTTAGATTTTAGTTTTGCAAGTGTGTTGTTTTTCAAATGTATAAAATATAGGACAAGTTAAAATCGTAAGAGGGAAAGGCAATTATATTATTCTTCTACAGTTAAAAAAAAATGCGTGCGTACTACGTGCACAACGTGGAACCATATTCGTGAGGAGCTTATCTGACTGTATCAGGTGTATCAGATAGTCCACAGGAGCCCATTGGATGGATACTTACTGTGTGAACGAAAGAGCACAGAAATCACAATATCAGAGCTGAGTAAACCTCAGCCCTGCTTCTTGGGATTCCGTTTCTGGAATAAGAGGTAGAGCATTTAATAAAAACTCATTGATCCTGTGCCTCATGAACCATGGAAATGTATGAGCCTTCACCGGCTGAGCTTAACTGGGATAAATCTTTCTGTCACTATCTGCATAATTCTTGCTTGTCTTCCCATCTGGCTTCTGGGTTGACAGTTTGTGGGAAACAACCCTCCTGCTGCTGTTTTTTAAAAATCAGAAATCTTGCCCTTGAAACTATGTTAAATTCAAACCAAGTATACTTGTTTTATGAAAGAATTATATTTTTCAAAATATGGGGGTTTTTGTTTGTTTGTTTGATGGGTCCCAGAAAACACTAATAAAAACCATGGAGAGCAGCCGGTAACTGTGTTTCATGCTTCAACAAGCCACCCCAGACTGGGCTCAGTGGAAATGCGCTTAGCCTATAGCAACCAAACATACGCGGTTCCCACATGTATTTACTCAGTAAGCATCGACTGAGCATCTATTATGTGCCAGACACTGTTGTAGGCGCTGAGTCACGGCAGAGATTTAAAGAGACAAAAATTCTGCTCTTGTGAAGTTTATGTTCTGTTGGATGGAAACAGACAAGAAGCAAAATACAAACAAATAAAAAGTAGCATATCAGATGTGTAGTAAAGAAATACAGAGCAAGAAAGAGGAGTAGAGTGTACTAGAGTATGCAGGGGTGGATTGCAAGGTTAGGCAGCATTAAGAAGGATGTAAGGGAAGGAGCCATGCAGATAACTGGGGGAATGATACCCGACTGGAGGGGCCGTAAGCACAAAGTTCCTGAGGTTCCTGACAC